GGTTGGGGGAATCAGATGTAGTGCTGCAAATCAAAGGTCAGCTGCATGCAAGTGCCTTGCCCCTGTGCTGTCTTTCAGGGAACAACCCATCTGCCCCCAAACACCCATACAAACAACCTAATTTATTTGTTTTTGCGTTTTTAGTTTCTTATAGCAAACTCCTGTGCTGAGAGACTTAGCTTTTTCTGAAAGACCCCAAAAGCATTATAATGTTTTATAATGGGAAACTCCTGCTGTGGCAACCCTTTCTGCTAGTCTCTTTTCAGCCAAGAGATTTCTAGACATTTTTCTTTTTTTTTTTGGGTGGAATGAAGTATGTTGGAGTGTTAGGCCACACCTGGCACTAGTCTCAGGGATCACTCCTTAGGGGACTGTCTGTAGTGCTGGACTCCGAAAGGCCTTACCCACATACTATTCTGCAGCTGCTCCCCCCTTAAATTTTTCTTTGCAATCATTTTATATCTTGGTGTCATTATTAGGATTTATATAATATCAAGACAGTCATATTTGAAGCTGATTATAGTTTCCCTGAAGGTAAATTTACTTCCATAATTTCTTTTTAGTTTGGTTCCTTGGGTTGATGAGTTTTGTTGTTCTTGTTTGAGGTTCCTGGGCTTGTGCCTGCAGTGTTAAGGCTCATCCCTGGCATTAGTACCTGTGGATTTAACCAAGGGCCTCACACATGCAAGGCTCGTGCTCTGTGGCTGACCCACATTTCGGGCCTTCAAATGAGTTCTTGTAACTCTTAGGTTGGGTTAAAACTAACCTAAGGATTAAGGGTTTTTTTCAGTATTTGTTAAAATCAACTATTAATTCAGGCCAATTTATCAGGTTTTTTTTACTTTATTTTTTCTTGATTTTTCCTGATTATTGAAACTGTGTTTGTTCAAAATATGGCAAGTACATAGAAGTTTTATGAGTTTTTTTTTTTTTAGTGTAGTTCCATGATGGTCTATATAGACCCAGTGCAATCCTTGTCAACATTCTTGCTGTCCAACCCACTTTGTATAAATTGATAAAACAATTCAGAAACCCACATGAAAATTCAAGGAACTCAGAACAACCAAAATAAAGTTGAAAGTAGAAGTTTACGGGTTTATACTCTTAATTTCAAAGCAGCTTTGTAAATATCTAAATGCAAATTTTTAAAAGTTTGAAAATTTAGAAGTAAATAAAACCACTCTAGAGTAAAAATAATGTAGTACTGGTATAAGGATAAATAAATCTATTAACGAAATAGAATATATAACTTATGGTCTAGAAATATACCTTATGCTCATTCGATTTTTGACAGATGCCAAGACATTTGAGAAATGCAAAAAAAAAAAATAAAAATGATGGACAATAAAGTCTTCCTTAAGATATAGAGACATTGGAACCTTATACACTGCTGGTGGGAGTGTTAAATGGTGCAGACATTTTGAAAAGCAGTTAAGCAATTTCACAAATCACTAAGTGTCAAGTTACCAGCAATTCTACTACTAGGTATTTACCCAAGAGAAATAAAAACATGTCTATGTAAAAAAATTGTACAAGTTGTCATTGCAGCCCCAAACTGAAAACCTAAAATTTTGTAACAACAGAAAAGTAGAAACTATCCATATATCTGTTAGCTGATGAATGGTTAAAAATGTTAACTGGTGAGGCTGGAGCAATAGCACAGTGGGTAGGGCCTTGCACACGGCCGACCTGGGTTCGATTCCCAACATCCCATATGGTCCCCTGAGCACCGCCAGGAGTAAGTAATTCCTGAGTGCAGAGCCAGGAGTAACCCCTGTGCATTGCCAGGTATGACCCAAAAAGAAAAAAAAATGTTAACTGGTGAATGGTCAAAATCAGTGTATCCGTGCAGGAATATTCCCCAACGTAAAAAGAATGAAGTGATAACGTGCAACAACATGAATATCAAATCTTGCGAAATAAATGCTAAGTGAAAGAAACCAGACACAGAAACTATATATAGTAATTCCATTTATATGAAATACTTAGACTAGACAAATCTGGAGAGACAGAGAAAAAAAGTACATCAGTTATTGCCAGAAACTGGAGGGAAGAGGAAATGGAAAGCAACTGATAAGGGGTGTGAATTTTCTTCTGGGGATTATGAAAATTTCTGGAGTTCCAAAAGAGGTGATGGTTGGATAACTTTGTGAATATACTAAAATCCATTGAATCACATACTTCAAAAGGATGAAGTTTATGGTATATGAATTAAATTTCAATTAAAAAAATAAAATAGAAGTCATCTCAGATCCTACTGCCCAGTGCAACCACAGTTCATGAACTGTGTACTGAGCATCTTACAAAATGTTCACTCGGTGCCAGCCATCTCAGCTTCTGAGATATCTTCTTATTTCTCACAATAGCTTTGTGAATCTTAGAACTGAAATTCCTGACACCAGAATTTACACTGGAAAGTAATTCTTTCCTTTAACTTAATGTATCTATTTTTAAATGAATCTTTAAAAACTGTGATTTACAAAGTTATTGATGGTTGAGTTTTAGGCAGATAATGTTTCAACGTCAATCCCTCCACCTGCGTCCACTTCCATCCACCAGTGTTCCCATATTCCCTCCCCACCCTTCCCCAGCCCCCACCCCATCACCACCTGTCAACTTGACAGGCAGGCACATTACAAAGTTTCAGAAGTTGCAGCTTAGATCTCATGCTTGCAGTTTTGTTGAGTCTGTGTTTTCAACATATATAACTGAAATTCTGGCGCCTCTTCACCCATTACTTCCCATTCTCTTCTTCCACCCTTGATTTTTTTTTTCCCTTCTCTGTCCTTCTCCTGTCTAAACACAGGGGTGGGGGGGGAATCCAGGAATCCCCCTTTTATTACAGCACATTTCCTCATTCAGTATTCTGCATACCACAGATAAGTGAGATCATTCCTTGTTTGTCTTTCTTCTGGCTTACTTCACTCAACCCGTATCTTTCAGTCCAACCATGTTGCAGCAAATTGCATGATCTCATTGTTCCTTGTAACTGCTTCATAATCTATGTGTTGTTGGACACCTAGGTTAATTCCGTATCTTAGCTATTGTGTCGAGCATATAATATTTCCTTTTGAAATAGTGTTCTTATGTCTTTGGGTAGATATCCAAAGGTGGAATCACTGGGTTATATGGCGGTTCAATTCTAAGTTTACTGAGAAAACTCTCTACTGTTTTCCACAGGAGTTGTCCCAGACATTTCCATCGGCAGTGGATGAGAGTTCCTTCTATTTTAAAAAGATTTTTGAGTGAAGGAGTAACATTTTAATTTGGAATGTTATTAAAATACTATTTTAAAAAAAATTAAACGCTTTGGGGCTGGAGCAATAGCACAGTGGGTAGGGCGTTTGCCTTGCACGCGGCTGACCTGGGTTTGATTCCTAGCATCCCATATGGTCCCCTGAGCACTGCCAGGGGTAATTCCTGAGCACAGAGCCAGGAGTAACCCCTGTGTATTGCCGGGTGTGACCCAAAAAGAAAAAAAACGCTTTATTCATTTTTTCCTATGCTTTATTCAAACATACAATCAATTGAGTATATCTATGTTATAAATCATTTAGGACTTATCACTCAAGCTTAGAACCAAAAAAACTGACTAATGTGTTGAATCTCATAAAATTGTTTTTAGTAATCACAGAGTTTATGTAAATGTCCTGGTTTTTTTTTTTTCCCTTCAGAGCTTATTGGAAATGAGTAAAGTTTAAAGTTTACACAACAGCCATCCTTCTAAGTCTGGTCTAATACTTGATTAGAAAAGCTGATTATATTTTGTTTTCATAAAATACTGGTCATCAAAATATACTGTGGTTCTTTGATTTTTCTATGAAACTAGAACATTTAAAATAGAAGGTATCAGAAAGAAACCAAAACACTGCCATAGCATGAAAAATTTGTTTTAAATTAATAAGTTTTAAATTTTATTACTTTTTTAAATTTTGTGACTTTTTAAAGTTACCAGTTTAGTTACAGACATTCAATATTCCGACACCAGTCCCACCACCACTGCAACCTTCCCACCACCATTATTATTACATTTTTAATGTTTTAAATATTTAAAGTTTTCAGTGTTTTTTTTTTTGTTGTTGTTGTTATAAGATTGTTTAAATTTTGCCCTTAACATTTGTCAGTCATAGATTTAAAGGTTTTATCCCATGGGGCTTCTTTACTATTTCTAGAAAGGTATTTTTAGATATTTTTTTTAGGTATATTTTTAGGTATTTATCTAGAAATACCTAAAACTTATAAGCTTAAGAGATTTTTTATGAAAACAAAACCTGGTTAGTGACTTTTATTTTTATTTCAATTTTAATTTTTGTTTTTGGGCCACACTTGGCAGTACTCAGTGCTTGAGGGACCATATGGGATACCAGAATAAAACTACACTCAAGGCAAACACCTTACCCACTGTACCATCACTCTGGCTGCTGGCTAGTAATTTTTAAAGGAATCATGCAGAATTTTGATATGAAAATATTGTACTTTTTAAATCTTGAATTTAGGATATTAGTGGTTAGACTTTTTTTAAATCGTAAAATTAAATAAAATTATTTTCTGAAACATGAATTTCTTGTGAAATGACTTTCTTATCACTTAGGAAAATGTCATGACTAAGACATTTTCAATGAAATTCAGTTGATTTTTCTGCCATTTAATACCCTTCCCACTCTAGTTAAAACAAATGAAAACATGAATATCCAAGCATTATAAATAAAAATATTTTAATATTAAAAACATGAAATTATGGATGGACTAAGTTTGACCCTAAATCCCAAAACTCTGTAAAGGGAGACGTCTTTTTTGCCATCATTAAATATTTGTTCCAGAATTTGTCCTTACTCCTTGTCCATAGTAAATGCTTAATAAGTGTTTGTTATACAGATACATATTTATAATTACATGTATTTTTATCACACACATTGTTTTGCAGTATATGACTAACTGGAATATTTTCAGTTCTTAGCACCATATGTAATTATTTTTCTTCATGTTTTGTCTCTCTGCAGGTTGGTATTTTGTATGGCATCTTTTTTTATCAAAATTCAAGTTTCTGCGGGAACTTGTGGGAGACACCGGATCCCAGGAAGGAGATCATGAGCCTTCAGGGTCTGAAACAGAAGAGGATGCTTTATCATCTCCGCACAGGATCAGATCTGCTCGCCAAAGGAGGGTACCTGCTGAAGAAGATCACTGACCCAGCCCTCATCCTCTGTTAGTGAAGGATGAAAAACAATTGAGAGCCTGTGTTTTTAATGACTTGGCACTGCAGTTTGCTAAAAGACTGAAGAGCATTTGTACTTGAATTTTAAGTCCAATTTAAAAAGATTTACATGTAAGCCATATGAAAATAAAGGGAATTAAAACCAAATTAGACCATTGCAGATGGTCATATTAAAGAAATCTTTTGCCTCATTAGCTTTCTACTTATATGTATATTCCTTGTCTGGGGGTTATTTTCTCTTACTAGGTAGATCTAGTAAATATTACATGCTTGAAAACCCATAGTTTACAAATTAGGTCTGTAATGTATGTTTTCTTTCCCACACGTTTCACCTTGTTTGAAATTGGGATGCATCTTGTGATCACTCTCAACTAGACGTTGGTTATGATGTGTAATTATATTCGCCTGTTCATGTGTGAACTAGCTTTCCATACCATCACTGTATTGTTGGCAAAAAAAAAAAATCTGTTTAGTTTAATTGGGATTTTAAAATGTCTTCAGGACTAGAGATACAGTGTCAAGGTAAAGGCAATTGCCTTGCATGCCACTGACCCGAGTTTGATGCCTGACACTGCATATGGTCGCCAAGCACCACCAGAACTGATTGCTGAGCACAGAGCAGGAGTAAGCCCTGGAAACTGCTGGGTGTGATCCCAGATCCCTCCCCCCAAATATAAAAAAAATTATAAAATTCATAATTTCTTCAGAAAGATTACACTGTGATTCAGTACTGAAAAGAATAGTTATTGCCTATGCAGAGAAGTGTGGAAATGGAGCAACAGGATATACATTTGATAATAGTGAAGCAAATATTTGTTCCTGGAGAAATGACTGAACTTCCTATTGTAAGTAAAATGTTCTATAGGACCTAAGCAAGGAAGATACGAATAGATACAGTTGTACTATATTTTGTCAGTTAGAAATGTTCTGAAGGATTATTACCTGCAAAGTGATGATATTGAAGGTAGTGGATATTGCCAAAACCCTCCTGAAACAAAATTCCAAAGCAAGAAGCAGGTGTGATCGATTCATGTATGAAGCAGGACGATCAATAAGGTATCAACTATCTTTTTGCTGGATAAAGGATATCCTTTATATATCCTTTATTCTTCCTGCTGACATCAAACATAAGAAATTGGTAGAGCACTCTTCGAGGAAATCTTGCATCAGTATTTTTGATGAAACCAAGAGACCTGTTGGTGTGGAAAAATGCAGACACCAATTACTATGAATTGAAGAGTGATTAGAAAGAGTTGAACGTAGGCTATAAAATTATAATTTGGCCAATTTCATACAGTTTTTATACATATGCACAAGATTGTGATAAAAATTTGTCTAAAGTGCCGTTTCAGTAAATGTAAAATAAACATTTTATGTGATAAGCATTGTGTGATAGCTTGTTTTTTTCCTTAGTGGTACATAAAATGAAAGTGTATAAAATAAAACATAGTTTGTAAAAGTTTTTCTTTCTGGCATAGCAATTGTTTATTAGAGCTCTTAATTTTCTTATAATGTTAAAATTCTCTGTCCTCTGTGAGAATGTTTTTGGTGACCTATCTGAGATTTTATAGCAGTTACTTAGAAATCTAAGAGCTACCTTCTACTTTCGAAAGAGTAGAATTAAGTTACTCCTTTTCAGCAGGAGGACTTCATGCTCTAGGCATGTATAATGGAGAAGATGCTTCTTTGCAACAATTCAGTGACAAAACTTCAGAGGTACTGTATATTGAAGAAAAAGAGTGAGTGGAAATATCTGCTTCACTATAAAATAACTTCAGGTTTCCATGTTAGTTTTAACTGATCTCTGGGCTATTTACTGGGGAGGAGAGATAAGGATTAAGTAACTTTCCGATTTATCTGTGCAGTTATGAATTGTAAAGCCAACTTTTTTTCTAATAAAAGTTCTTTCATGTTTTTAACCTTTGTTTTCTGAAGATCTAGTTATCACAGTGTTACCTCCGGTTTAAGTAATTATGTTTGAGACCTCATAGTTAACTTAGTTTTGTTTATGGTTCTTTTACTCTGCCCCAAGCTATATTCTTGACTAACTGTCTTGCTATCCTGGTAGCCCCTTTGATATAAGACTGGGAAATTATCAGCATTTGCTTGGGGGTTCTCATCTGAGAGCCAGGCACAATCTGATCACAAACATTATGTGATTATAGGGCTTTATGGTGACATAGGTGTCAAGCATTGACTTTATGCCTCATTCTAGCTAAATACCATAGTTGAATATTCATCTGTTAGAAATTTAAGAAATAGTCTGCTTAGGTTATAGGAAATATACTCAAACAATAATAATAACTCAAACCATGTTTTAATTTCAGGGAGAGTAAAGGGAAATCACTGATGCCACGTAAAAATTCTGCAGAATAATGCCTTTTTGTTTTCTCTTGTGCTTCCTTCTTTTACCAACATACCATAGTAAGCATTTCTGTGGCAACAAAGGCAAGGGAATTATTTACCCAGTCTATACAGTGTTTTTTGTCCTTCGGTGTCAGTGCTTTTTAAGCTGAATTTATTGTAACTTCATCACAAGTATAATTTCCTTTCTCATTAGGAGAGAAACTAGCTTGTGGTTAATTTTAAAGTTTATAGTTCTCTTTGTTTTTGTTTTGTTTTAGAAGTTTATAAAGTTCTGAGCATTAAAAGTGTTAAGATTGAATACTCCTAAATGATGATAATCAAGTATGTCATCTTTTGAGGATGAATCTAAAATTGAAGACTGGTAAATTGTTTTATTTCCTAACCATCCATTCCCAAATCTTTGTTTTGTCTTTCAAACTTTTGTGGGAAATCCCTGCATTAATGTATTGCCAGCATAGTTCTGATTTAAATGCAAAAAAAAAAATTGTTGAATATGGTTTTTTGAAAAAGAATTTATGTCATACTAACAGAATTCATCCAGTGGGTTTTGTAGTAATCTTTTCTTGGTGGATACATAAATAAGTTATTATGTGATGGGTAACCAGTTTATAGATGTGTTGATCCTTCGTTAGACACTAGACTTAAAGCAACTTCAAAGTTGTTGGGAATACATATACATAATATTGTGCTTCACAAATATGGCATTTAACCCAAAATGTGTTGTAAGACCTGAAGCAAGAGTTTTAAATATTTTTGAGTAAAACATTTTTACTTTGAGGATTATTTAAACATTACTTTAAGTCAGAAATGTACTTTTTAAAGTTCAGAGTATGTTTTAATGATAACATGTAACTGGTGTAATCTTAGAGTTTGACTGGTAAACTTCAAGTGCTTTTATATGTAAAGTTGACTTTAAAAGTCAATGAGCTCTACTCAAAGATACAGATGACTCAAGAAAGTAATGAACCACTATTTTGTTATGGAGTCCAAAAGCACCTTGTACTGTTTGCTTTTAAAGTATCCTATAGTTTTAGGAATCTATAGTATTGACTTAAAGAGTAATATTTAATACTAATAAAAGTTACATTTTACATTTGTTAATGTACATATGACATTACCCTTGGACTCGGTTCTATGCATTGATATTCACCAAATACTGCTGCTGTGGTTTCTTAAAGGAAACATTCAATTGTGTTATGATGCATTGCCATCTTGCTGATTTAAAAATAGGGTAATAAAGAATTAGACTGTATTAATAGTACCTTTGTATAATGAGATGTAAAATTAAGAGATGAATGTAAAGAACCACCCACTGTTTTTTAAACTTGTTTGATGTTTTAACTTCTACTTTAAACGGCACAGAATAAATTAAAATGAAAGCAAAAGTTGTGTTTTATTGATTAAGTATGAAGGGTACTTTTCACAGGACTTGAAATTAAAACAGTCAATTTTACCAGTGGTTTGCCTTTTCACCTTATTTTTTCAAATCTAAAATTCTGTATGAATTAAGATATCAGTACAGTAGGGTCCCTTATCTGCGGGTTGCTTTCTGCAATTTCAGTTGCCCCTGATCAACCACATGTGAAAACATTGCACACAATTAAGGTGTTATGATACACCACATTAACAAATGTTGTTACCTTTTTCTTAAATTTTCTGTCTTATTAGTCTTATTAGTCTTTCTGTCTTATTAGTCTGCATTCAGTTGCCCACTTTTTTGTGGGGTGGGTGGGTGGGAGAGTGTTTTTTTTTTGTCCTCAGCTGTGCTCAGGGTTGGCAGTGTACAAGGGAAGTACTTTTTTATTTTAAAACTTTATTAATTTTTTTTCTTGATTGAATCACAGAGAGATACACAGTCACAATGTTGTTGATTAAGTTCTGGTCATAAAACGTTCAAAAATGCATCTATTCACCAGTACATTTCCCATCACCAATGCCCCCATTTTCTCTCTGGCCCCATCCCCCTGCCTCTATGGCAGGTACTCCTCTCTCCTTTTGGGCAGTATGGTTTGCAATACAGAATTACAGATAACTGAAAGGTTATCCATATATCCGTTTACCTACCTTCAACACTCAGTTTCTGTCAAAAATGATCATTTCCTACTGTTGTCATATTAGTGCCTTCTCTATTCTAACTGTCCTTCGTGCCCCCCCCCCCTTTTTAATTCATCGTTGCGTACAGTAACAAAAATTTCATGTTTGAACTTTGATCATATGATCATCAAACACCTATCCTTCACCAGTGCGCATTTTCCACCACCAAAATCCCCAGTACCCGCCCCTCTCCCCACTCCACACCTTCCCCTGCCATGTGGCAGAGAATTGGCAAAATACTCTTTCTCTACTTTAGTTACCTTTGATATTTCGAGACCAGTCCTACCACCCCTGATACCTGCTAAAAATGCAATGCTAGACAATATGTATTACTTGTTATGATATAATATAAAATCTTAGAAATTCTAAGATTTTAATAATTAGGGTCTGAAGAAATCGATGCAGCAAGTTGCATGGGTCTGAGATTCATTTGTGTGTCTCTGGATCGTGGCCGTGTGGGAGCTTAAGTAGACGGTGGGTGGATGTGGTGTCATCTCGGAACCTCATCGGGATGGGAGAAAGAAGGGCCCACTCCTCTTCTGTCCCGTGAGACTTGGAATTTGCCTTCAACTCGTACCTGGATCTTGCTGGCTTCTAGAAAATGGCGTTTGCTAGACCTCCTAGAGGGCAGGTGGAGGGACAACACCTGTCCCCGTCTGGAGCAGCCCAGCGGAGAGGGCCTATTGCAAAGTCCCAGGCCATCTGCCGCAAGTTGCTCGGGTCCGAGACTCGTTTGTGTGTCCCACCCCCAACATTCTTATGGCCAACTTCCAACCATTGACCAGTCCTGGCCCCTGTTTCCCTGGCTTTGAATATTAGTCTTATCCCACAAATGAATGCAGTCATTCTATATCTCTTCCTCTTCTGACTCATTTCACTCAGCATGATACTCTCCATGTCCATCCATTTTTAAGCAAATTTCATGACTTCATTTTTTTTCTAACAGTTGCATAATATTTCACTGTGAGATGTATCATAGTTTCTTTATCCAGTCATCTGTTCTTGGAAGGCAGGTACTTTTTTTTTTTTTGAGCTTAAACTTGGAAACTTTATTCACATCTCTTATCTTTTTTTTTTTTAATTTATTTTTTTTATTAGTGAAACACCATGAGGTACAGTTGTAGATTTACAAATTTTTGTGCTTGGATCTCGGTCATACCACGATCAAATACCCATCCCTCCACCAGTGCCCATTTTCCACCACCAGGATAATATCCCTCCCCCCCATCCTCCCATCCCCCCATCCCCCCCTGCCACTGTGGCAGGGCATTCCCTTTTGTTTTCTACTTTTAATAAGTCATTCCATTCTCTTCTTGCTTGTATTGTTTGATATGAGAGATGTGAGGTGAATTTTGTGTTATGTTCCTTTTATTTGAGGTTTTGTTTCTTGCTGCATTCAGTTGCCTATTTGGTTCTTAACATTTTGATCATAAAGGCCCTCCCGTTGATCGTCGATTTGCTCGAGCGGGCCCAGTAACGTCTCCATTGGAGACTTTGTTGTTACTGTGTCTGGCATATCGAATACTCTCGGTAGCTTGCCGGGCTCTCCGAGAGGGGCGGAGGAATCGAACTCGGGTCGGCCATGTTGGCTGCGTGCAAGGCAGACGCCCTACCTGCTGTGCTATCACTCCAGCCCATTTTGATCATAACTTGTTTTAGTATTGCTCTATTTGAGTTTGTTTATTTTGTTAGGAACCCTTTAGTGTCCAAGGTCTACATACAGGCCTTCCTCTTTATGCTAGGGAAATTCACAGCTACTTAATCTCCTCAACCAGCTTCCCCCCTTCTCCTCCCTGCCCCTTTCTCTTTCCTTTAGGTACTCCTATTAGTTTGGAGTTGTTCTTCTTGTACATTAAATACCTTAAACTTTCATCATTAAAAATATTCTTTTCTCAGCCAAGATAGAATAGCGTCCCTTGAG